AGCTGGGGCAGCAGCTGGGGCAGCAGCTGGAGGCCCCTGCACCGCCGTGGAGGTCGGGGCGACGGGGGCACCCTTACGCGGCCCTTGAGCGGGGGCGGACGTCGTCGTCGCCGAGGAATCATTTGAACCGGGAGACCGCTTGCCGAAGAAGTCTCGCTTCTTCAAGGAGCCGGGAGCTTTATGCGCCTCTGGCGCCGCGGCCGCAGCGCCTGCAGAAGGTGACAACCAGAAATGTGCTGTTAGAGTACCTTATATGAAGCATTGGAGGTGTGGAGAGTCTCTCCTGTGAAATAGTTGGTCCTAACAAGGGAACTCATCTAAGTGTTAGTCCTCAATTTTGTTCCGCCTTGGGGTTTTTGTAGAGTGAACGAATACAAAACGATTGACAATGAAAATTCGTGCCCAATGTCATATTCGTAGCTATAGGGGAAATCCATTTTCTCCAGAAATGACCAAAAAAAGCATTTTTTCTGAAAAATCCAAAAATGATCCACAGCTTCTATTCAGTTTTAAAATGTTGATTTAATGCCGGCTTGCGAATCTACGACGCCGAGTGAACTTATTTCTACAGTATCGGTTCTGATAAAGCTGCCTGCGGCCGTGACGGTTGTAGCTACAACTGTGTAGCTACAAACAGAGGGACGCGTAGGCTTTGCACGATATGTGTATCACATCTCTGCAGAAAACACTTTGGTGCCCCACTGCTCGGGCAGCACAACTTACCTCTCCGTCGCTTGCTTGCTGCTGTCATGGCGGGTGGGTGGCGGATGGGTTTGGCGGCGGGGTGTCGACGACGCAGAGGGTGCTGATGGCGCGGTTGTGTCTCTCACTCACTCTGTCGGGGCGTCGTCGTCGCGGACGTGCTCGCGACGCGGCGTCGGGGCTGCTACTGAGCTGAGCACCCCCGCGACGGCGGGGCGGAGGGGGGGCCTTTAGGTGAGCTGCAGTCTGCGCTGCGTCCGCGAGGGTGAACTCGACACGCGCTCGCGTCCGCGTCCCCGCCGCCGTGGTCGCTGGCCTCGCGCGCAGCAACGCCCACGTGGACGACGGCGAGGTAGACTCAACAAGCGCGCACCCGCGGATCGGACCGTCTCGAAAATGTTGCGAATGCGTATAGGTTCTCATATGTTTGTTTGTTGCGTAGCTGCCCCTCTATGTTCTCCGGAGGTCACCAGCAAAAAGATTATTGTCGCTGCTCCCGGGCCCGTCTGTTCGAGAGTCTCTTGCACCCAGGTGCCCGCCCTCTGTCTCTAGTGCAGTAGCAGGG